TGATAGGTGCATAGGTAATAAAAGAGAGCAAGAATATACACTGATTGGGGTGCCTACGTGGCTCAGTTGGTTAAGTATCTGACTCTTGATTTTGGCTCAGGTCATGATCTCATGGTTCCTGAGTTTGAGCCCCACATCAGGCTCTATGGTGGCAGTGCAGAGCCTGATTGGAATTCTCTCTCTCCTCCTCTCTCTCTGACCCTTCTACCCTCTCAAAAATAAATAAATAAACTTTAAAAAAAGGAGTAAATACTGATATAACACTTGAATCAATGGAATCAATCTGAGTTATCACCTGATTGAAGAACAATAGTAACAGCATGGATAGGCTTTGTGGTGAACTCACCGTGAGGGTCAAGCATAAAAACTTTTATTAGAGAAGCCATGAATGTGTGGGATGTGTGTGATTTTGATTTGATAATCAAATGCTTGTTTTCTCTTTTATTTGCTAAGTTAAGTCAATTATTCTCTAAATGAGTAATTGAATTGAATTCTAGTCTAAATGTAGACTCTGGTTAACAATTCTTTTTTTTTTTTAAACAGAGATATAATTGACATAACACTGTTATATATTTAGGTGTATAGTTTTCTCCTAGTGGTGAAAACTTTTAAGATATACTCTCTCAACAACTTTCAAATATACAACACAGTATCGTGGTTGTGTGTGTGTGTGCACGCGTGTGCGTGTGTGTTTAATGCAATGCTGATTTTATTCCAGCTAAATAAAGCAATGTACAAGCTACCTGGGCAATAAGCTTAATTCAAGGGGCAAAAGCCAAGAAAGAAGGATTTTTCCTGTTTGTCTTAATTATCAGTCACTGCACCTCCTTTGAAAACAAAAATGAAACAAGAAAATCTTGCTATCAACATTCTTAGTATTCAGCTGTAATATAAGCTGTGAAAAAGAAATACAAGACATAATATTGCAAAGGAAGAAACAAAAAGGTAATTTGAGGATAACATAGCATTATTAAAAAAAATAGAAAAGCCAATACAATCTGTCAAACAAGTTTTAAGTAATTTTAATGATTGAAATAATTAAATAATTCTTATTAAAATAATCAAATAGTACTTGCACAGAAAATATTATCTGCCTATCAGCAATAACTGATTAGAAAACATAATATTATAGATATTACCTATTTATAATTATTGTATGTTTATTTCCTATATAATGAAAAAAAAATCCATTGAGAATAACAGCAAATGTTAACAGGTAGCTTAAATTAGGTATCTCTGGCTTATAGTTCTGCTAAGAAATTCAAAAAAGGTGGGGCGCCTGGGTGGCGCAGTCGGTTAAGCGTCCGACTTCAGCCAGGTCACGATCTCACGGTCCGTTGGGCATCTGGGCTGATGGCTCGGAGCCTGGAGCCTGTTTCCGATTCTGTGTCTCCCTCTCTCTCTGCCCCTCCCCCGTTCATGCTCTGTCTCTCTCTGTCCCAAAAATAAATAAACGTTGAAAAAAAAAATTAGAAATTCAAAAAAGGAAACACAAATAAATGTGAGTTCCATATTCCAGGATGAAGGACTAAATATGATAAAGATGTCAGCCTCTCTCAAATTATTAACAGATTTTTTATAGCCCCATTAAAAATCCAAATAGTATTATTTTTTTATAACTTGAAAAAATTATTATAAAATTCACCTGGAAAATTACCAGGTGAAATCATCAAAGAATTTTGTGAAAAATTAAATACAGTGAAATGGCTAGCCATAATGGCCAAATATCAAAACATATTAAAAGCAACAATTATAATAGGGAAAGATAGGATAAAATAGGCAGAGAGGGAAAGATTAGGACCTGAGGTCCCTGGGTGAGGAAAAAAACACATATTTTGGAACAATGCTGGGAGCATCTGACCACAGCAAACCCCCTTGAACATAAGGTTCCTCTTGAGAATGTAACAGACACTACTACTCCTCCTCAGGTTCCCCTCAGGAATTTGAGAATCAAAATACTTAACTAAAATAAGTAAACCATAAAACTTATGTCATATGAGAGATAGTATGACCATAGTCTGACTCCTCACACAATGGAATCGAGCCAATCAAGAATGGACAACCCAGCACCTAGTTATCAAGCCAATTAAGGGTATAACCTGAGAAGGAACAAGGGGGAAGGGAAGGAGAAGTTGAGCAGAACCTTATAAAACAAAGACCCTTATCTATATTTGCGGGCATTCACTTTCAAATGCCCCTTTTCTGTAAAGAGAGTTTTCATACTATTCTTACTTTCTAATCTTATACTCTAATAAATTTTTGCCTGCTGCTCATTTTGTGTCCTCTTCTTCATTCTTCGAAGTGGTGAGACAATGAATCCCAGGTATTGAGTGAGGTAAAGAATCCTGCAACACAATGATTAAAATAACATGGTACTGGCCCCCCAAAAAACATATATTTTAATTGAAGAGAACAGAAAGGTCAGAAATACTGTATTTCTGGGGTGCCTGGGTGGCTCAGTAGGTTGAGCATCTGATTTGGGCTCAGGTCATGATTTCCCAGTTGGTGGGTTCGAGCCCTGCATCAGGCTCTGTGCTGACAGTTCAGAGCCTGGAGCCTGCTTCGGATTCTGTGTCTCCCTCTCTCTTTGTTCCTCCCCCACTTGCACTCTCTCTCTCTCTCTAAAATATAAAGATAAAAAAATAATTACTGTATTTCTTACAAGTGTTTAATTAAAGAATTATTATGAGTCAATGAGTAAGGTAAGCATTATGCAGAAAATTCTGTTGGATCATGGAATACCAATTTTGATAAAAGTAGTAGATCATTACAGCAATGGATTCCCAGAATCATGTCTCCATTTCTATACCCTTTTGCCTCTAGCTATGGACACACTACAAAGTTTTGGGTGGTTTGTTATGCAGCAATAGATAACTTAGATAACGTCTTGTAGCATATACTAAAGTATATTCCAGATAATTAAAAAATTAAATATAAAATCAAAAGAAAATAAAACTTGATTTGAGAACTGAATGAACTTATGACATTTCAGGTGTAAGACATTCTGGTAGTATGCTAGCTTTCTTGGCTTTACAAGGGAAAACCTGAAATTTGACTACCTAACATTAACCATCTCACAAACTACAATAGCAAAAGAAACGAATGGAAAGAGAGACAAGAGGCTGGGAAAAGCAATAGCATAAAATATGGCAAGGGTTAATGTCACTGCTTTATAAATATATTCGAATTTGTATGTAAAACAAGGCTGTGAACAGAAAATTTACATCAGAGGACATAAGATAGTTTATAAACACAAGGAAAGACATCGGATCTTGATAGCAATCAAAGAATTAGAAGTATAATAACCTTGAGGTAACATTTTAAAACTAGGAATTTAGAGGGAAAAAATGGTATAATTTGGTGTTAGGTTGTATTTTGTTGGTACTGCCAGTCTGTACTCTTTGGAAAGCAACATTATTGATGGGCACTAAAATTTTTGTATATTTTGACTTAAAATTCCTGTTCTAGGAAAATTATCCAAAGAAAGTAATTCAACAGAGGTGCCTGGGTGGCTCAGTTGGTTAAGCGTGGATTCTTGATTTCAGCTGTCATGATATAACAGTTGGTGAGTTTGAGACCCACCATCAGATTCTGCGCTGACAGTGTGGATCCTGCTTGGGATTCTCTCTCTCCCCCTCTCTCTGTCCCTACCCCACTCTCTCTCTGTCTTAATAAACTTAATAAATAAACTTAAAAAAAAAAAAGAATTCAACAAATGTGAAAAGTCAAATGCACGAAGGTATGCTTTATAATATTACTTTTATAGTAAAACATGGAAACTTTGTATTGTCCAATAGAGGGGAAATTACTTGTCAGAAGCACCAGTAAGGGGTGAAATTCCAAGTTCCCATTAAATGTTAAAATTATAAAGATCATGAAGCAGCATAAATATGTTTATGTGATACTAGATGAAAATAATTTAAAACTGAATGCATACAGGGGCGCCTGGGTGGCGCAGTCGGTTAAGCGTCCGACTTCAGCCAGGTCACGATCTCATGGTCCGTGAGTTCGAGCCCCGCGTCAGGCTCTGGGCTGATGGCTCCGAGCCTGGAGCCTGTTTCCGATTCTGTGTCTCCCTCTCTCTCTGCCCCTCCCCCGTTCATGCTCTGTCTCTGTCTGTCCCATAAATAAATAAAAACGTTGAAAAAAAATTTAAAACTGAATGCATACAATGAACACAATGGAACAAATAAATACACATGATCTTATCAAATCCTCAGATCCTCTTTGAAGTAAATTTTGGCTCCATAATTACAGAAGAAACAACATAAACAATTTCTCCATGTTCAAGCTTTTAATAAGTAATAGACCTCAAGTCTGTTAATTGCAGCACCCACCCATGTTACCGATTAACACAATTAATCATTTTTTTGTGCCCAAATGCTTGCTCTTCCCACCACATCCTCCTTCATTTATTCAAAGAATTGGCAGCACTATGCAGAATAGGAAATAGCTTCTTAAAGTTTATGGGATCACAGATTTTTCTCCTTCACTTTTCAGACAATTTTTATTTTTATTTTTATTTATTTATTTATTTTTTAAATTTTTTTTTCAACGTTTATTTTTGGGACAGAGAGAGACAGAGCATGAACGGGGGAGGGGCAGAGAGAGAGGGAGACACAGAATCGGAAACAGGCTCCAGGCTCTAAGCCATCAGCCCAGAGCCTGACGCGGGGCGCGAACTCACGGACCGCGAGATCGTGACCTGGCTGAAGTCGGACGCTTCACCGACTGCGCCACCCAGGCGCCCCTCAGACAATTTTTAAATGTTATACCTATTTTATAATACAAAAACGGAAAATGCAGTTAAAAATAAAGGATCAAATTCTTTCAACTCTGTCCCAACAACCCGGAAACTTGAACTCTGTGCCAGCAGTGTTTACTAAGGACCAGGGAGGGGCCGGCATCAAGGAGGTGGGGCTGGCGTCGCAAAAAGAAACAGAAGGCATGCAAAAACCCGCGGCGGTGCTTTACGGCACTCGCTCCGCCTCTCCAGGTGCGGGCGGCGGAAGCCGGGAAACATGGTGGCCTCCTGCTTTCTTCGCAAGTCTTTGACTGCCCTGGCAGGGTTGTTGCTCTTGTCCTTCGGCAGCTTGGCCGCTAGTCAGATCGAGGTAGGAATCAGGCCCTCCGAGCGACAGGGCCCTGGGAGGACAGCTGCGTTGTGGCTGTGAGTGCACCAACAGATAACTCGACTCAACAGCAGCAGAGGGAAGCCTCAGCCTCTTACTAGGCTGACTGGGCTGTGGGGAGGGCCTCGGTCTGTTTCGCCCTTTTAAAACGACGAATTTAAAGAATCAAATCTTAGGATACGGAGGAGGGCCTGATCTATTGCTCCGACGAGTGTGTGGTCCCTAGCAGTTGAAATGAAAGCACAGGAGTGAAGCACCTACTTTCCTATTAAACTACAACGCTCCCCTTTGACAGGAGTCACATGGGTACGGTGTTTTATTTTTGGCTCACAGGAATTCTGGCCTTTTATAAAACTTTTGCTCTCCCTAGTACTCTGACAATACTTGAGGCCAGTTCTACAGTCTAGATCTGTGGTATCGTTGTCAGACTTGCATATCCTGTTGGCTAAGGGGCCGAGATAGCACACATTTGAAAATCTGTGTCCAAAGTTTCATCTTCTGCCTAGCCCACCTCCTATGGGATAGCTACTAAGTCAGAAACGTGTTTTGATTTTTTAAAAATAACCCCCCCCTTTTTTATCCCACATTTTGATTAACACTAAATTCTACGTTATGAGCTTTAAAAATTGCTTTCATCTTTCCAGTTCCACTGGCTTAATGCAGGCCCTGGCCATTTCTTGCCTAGACTATTGCAACAACGATCTTGTTTCCCTCAGGCTTCCAAAGGCCCTCACTTAGATGTTAAATTAGTCTTCATAAAATGCAGATATAATGGGGTTGTTCTTCTGATTTAATCCTTCCAGTGTTTTCCAGAGGAAAGTCTAAATAAACATCATGATCTGGTCTCTGCTCACTTTTGTAGTCTTCTTATTGGAGCCCATTCTTTCCAGCATTTAAGTGTCCTGAGTTTAGACCAGTGGATTATAAACTTTTTGAATACATACCTCCCCAGTTGAAAAAGACACAAAGAATGCACCCTCTGTCTATATCCATGAATTACTACTAATCTATATATTCAATATTTATAAGGCATTTTTTAATATACTACAAATATAAAAAGAAGTTCCGCTATTTTCCTCCTTTATTCTAATGGATTATCGTGTGTACTTCATTTTGGATAACATTACTATTACTTTTTGTAGTTATATTGTTGCTGTGCTTTTTCACATTACCATGTTTTATAACCTCTTATTTATTCTGTCCATTTACTAAGATGAAGTAGAAGCATAACTTCTGTAGAGTCTTTCCTTATCCCTTGTCTTTGTTTATACTGTTGTAATTTGTACACTTAGCTAATATAGCACTTATCTGTTGTAAGCCATATATGCTTTATAATATCTATTATTCCATCATCTTTCACTTAAAAGTGCAATAGCTTCCTAACTGGCCCGGCTCAAGTCTTTCTTCCTTCCAGTCTGTTTTCTAAGCTGCAGCCAGAGTAATTTTTAAAAATGCAACTCGGATCATGTATCCATAAACACCTTAATGTTTCTTTAAGGATAAAGAAACATTTATCCTCTCTTTCTCTTTCACAGACTTCTAGTAGTGCTAATCTTTCAGTTTCTAAAAGCCTTTAGGCTCCTTTCTGCCATTAGGGTGTATGTTCCTTCTGTCTGGAATTATCTTCCCTCTTCTCTTCATCTTTTGGGTCCTAACCTAAATGTCACTTCTCTAGGGGAAACTTCCCTGACGCCTTCCCACTTCCCACCCCCCGAATCAGGTCAGGTCAGGTCTCTCTAGGGGTCTACTGTACTCTTTCATGATACTGTGTATCTTATCTTGGTAGAATTCATAGTTTGCCCTCATCTGCTTAATGTGTGTCTGTCAGATTGGATAGTAACCTCTTTGAAGGCAAGTACGATGACTATTTTTGCCCATCATTGTATTGTGAGCGTTCAGGACAGTGGCTGGCACATGGCACCCAATGAATGTGATGAATGAATGAATGTTACATTGCAGTGTAATGTGTTTGCATGCTTCCTTATTGAACTCTGGGATTCTTCAGAGAAAGAAGCATGTTATTTAGTGATTTTTTATATCACTATACATTACGTGTACATGGCACATGATAGGTGCTCCACTCATATGTAGAATGAATAACTTTGCAGTGCCTATATTGTCTAAACAATCACAAAAGAGTTTTGCCATAACAAAATTTTCACTAAAGTCTTAATAATGTAAGAATTTTCAGCTAGAAGGGACATTTGAGATTATTGGGTCAACTCTTACTTTCTACATGAGGAAAGTCAAGTCTAAAGAGCTAGGTGACTTACCCCAGTCTCACAGCCATGTGAGGGATAGGACCTGGGCTAAAGCCCACATCTTCAAATTTTTAAACTAATGCTTTAATCCATTGTAGCATATTTTTTCTTTAGCATCTAGGCAGCTGTTGAGAAAGGTTTAAAAAAGATGTGTGTGTGTGTGTGTGTGTGTGTGTGTGTGTGTGTGTGTGTATGACACATTTGAGTGAATTTATTTTATTCTCCCTGCAGTTTTCTTGCCAGCTGAAAATTAGAACAGCTAAAGTTAGTTATGCAATTTCTATGTTCCAGTCACCATTCCTACCTTCTGTGTGTCAGGTAATATTACTATGGGCACAGAGAAGCTTTCCTAAGCTTTTACAGCTTGTAAATAATAGGGCCCAGATTTGAATCCAGGAAGTATGACTCTTTTAGTAATTAATACTGGTTGGTAGTAGATCTGGGGTCATTAAAGTTTATATTCACTATTATTTTAATATATAATACATAGTGTTCCTTAAGTATCTGGATACTATTGGATATTGAGGTTTTTAATGTTCCACAATGGCAAATATAGTTCAGACTTTAACAGATTAGTGAAATGGTACATGGCAGCATGCTAGAGAATGTACTCAATCAGATGTAGTGATGTGTTCATATAAAGTAATTGGAAGCATCCAGTACAGAATAGGAGGAAATAATTAATGAAACTTCAACAAGAAGCGTATTAATTATTAAGTGTATAATCAAGGCATGAAAATAAGTCATTCACAATTTGAAGACTGAATTGAAAAACTAGGAGCTGAGGAATGAGGAAGAGCTGGTTGTGTTCGAGATACATTGTTTAAAAACAAGCAACTCCCTCCACAATGCCCCCCCCAAAAAAAATGAAACTTTTGTCCTTCATAAGGTCAAATACTAGAACCTTTATAAATTTGCATGATGATAATTTACTGTCATTGTAACTGTAAAGACTTCATGAATCTTAACTTTTTTATTCTCAGAAATGTGGCTTTTCTAATATATTTGCTATTATTTGACTTGTAGGATCAAACAGAACAGTTCTTTAGAAGTGGGCATACAAACAACTGGGCTGTTTTGGTAAGTATGTAGCTATTCACATTAGATACGTGTCTGAGAAATTTTGTGAATCAGATTTTTGAAAAAGAGTTTTTATTTTCTCATATCTTATAAAAAATTCCTTATTTTGATTTGGCTATATTTTAAGTTGACTGTGTCAACTAATAATATTCTATGCCTTCAATATATTGTCAAGTGGTGATGTGTAAATAAATATAAGAATAAATTAAATACTATTGTTAAGGGAAATATTTTATAAAATATAGATTCATTTTAATAATGGAAACTAGTAATTGTATTTCTTTTTCCTTTTTTTTTTTTTTT